ATCGCAGGGGTTCAAAACCTGCACTTGAAGTGCACGGAATCTTCGAAAGGCTCGTTTCTATACTATCCGGTGTACCGCATATTGGGTCGCGTCACAGTGCTGTGCAATCCAACGAATGCTAAGATCGGGACGTTTTGACACTTCACTGATTACAGCGCAAGCTAAACAGTCGTCCGTGGTGATACAAGGTGGTCCGCTTCTCTTCAGTTCACACACATTCGCAGTTTGCTCGAACATCTTCAATAGTTTAAACACGTATCGGGTGGTGTCGGGGCGCATTCCAGCGTTCATTGCATTGTATCTTCGTGAAGTTGATAAGGCGTTTGAACCGCATTTACCGTACAGCCGAATAATCAGCGTGCACTGATTAACAGGCACGTTACGTGGTCCCGACTGCATTGTCTGCTTATGATCCATTACTTGTGGCAGTGATTCAATGACATTGACACGACTTGCAATACCTGATATCGTCCTCCCCTAATCCAGTACACCTGTTTTGCAGAGATGCCATCAAGTGCGCACCTTCACGCTGCAGTTTTAGTTGCGCGCTTTGGCCTGCCTACGCCGCCTTCGTTGGCTAGCCAGCTGTATCGTTTTGGCCAGCGAAATACACAGATAACCATCGATCGCTTCAATAACTACGGTTAAGCGTGACTTTCAGCACTCAGCGCGAAGTTAGCTGACCACCAACGACCGCCGGAAACACGTTTTGGCTGTCTGAACTCATCACGTTCGATGGTCAAAGCAGGCTCAAGTGGCCAGTCGACCCGTTCTTCACCCGCCTACGATTGCACAGTTGAATCCTGCGCTTATTCATTCGCCTGCCGAGAATTCCATACGTCCTCACCACTAAGGAGAGAGAGAGAACTTCATCTGTTTGCACGCGCAGTAGGCATTGTGCAAAATTCGCCACACATTGGATGGCTATTGCATCGTGGGGACCACAACCATAAATGACCGGCGTTCACCACATGTGTATCAGGCTAGATACAAGAACCGCGCTTCCTATTCTGGAACGTGGTCATCGGCTTTCTGTCACCTGATTAACTTTTGTTGACACTTTGCGTCAACATTTTGCATTCGGCTATCGAGTTTCTGCCTATTTATTTGGAGATTATTGTTACCATCATTGCAACTCTCTTACTCGTTCGCGAGACGGTGAATTTTAACCGCACTGTTGAAATTTATGTTGCGTGAATCGCTTTTGCAGTATATTGACGTGGTGACAAGGCAATGTTTTATTAAACTTTTTTTGTCCTGCGGACGATTACAACTTACCTTACGCTTTTTCATATTATTTATTATACGTGTGGTGAAATATAGCGAGTTCTGTGGTTTGCTTTGATAGACTATGTTTTCGCACTTGGTTTCGAGCTAGATCACCCTTTGTTTATTATTATGCCCAATGTCTATTACGATTGTTTTCTATTAACTCTGCAGCTGGTGATTGAGAATTGTTGTCGTTGCGCTAAGTTATTGCAGTGTAATCATGAAGGCTTTACCGTGTGAAGCTGAGACCTCCAAGTGTTTCATGCTGAATTCGCGCGTGTATCGAACCTGTGTGAAAGGTTGGAGTACGCATTTTGTCCTTGTCGATATTATGGGGGAATCCCCATCTTGTGTTAACAGAGTTGTCCTTAGACGACTGTCACGAATACTTGCCACCGGAGCGGACTCAAAAAGAACCATTACAAGTCGGTAACCTACTTTTAAGGGTAATTAAGGGTTCGCATTGAAATGGCTTCTTGATAGCAGATAATTATGGCGCCTCCTCAGCTGTGACGATGGTATTGTAACAGTGATATTTGTCGAACCGCTCCCTCGGAATCTGCAACCTCTGAGAAATACCAACTGTCATTTATGGAAGGAAGATCCCTAAAACTTGTTAGCTAACGCAACTCAAAGCAACTTTAGTTTGAAAGACTTGGATAATGAAATACGCACGGGAAAGCTTTGTGTATCTTAGTAAGCAATCAAAAGTCATGTGGTTCGAGTAAGGGATTGTGCCGACAGTAGTTTGGTCGACCGCTAGCCATTTTATTGTGGTATCGTTGGTGAGTAACTTGGGCGTGCGTTCGGCGGCATCGTACTTGGCTCCTCAGTTAACGAATTTTGCGCAATGCATAAGGTGTAGCCACAGGATTGCACTTGTGGATCCTTGATTTTTCAAACATGCTACCAATGGGCAACACATATAGAGTCCCAATTTCATTTGTTTGCTGAGAAGGCGTTTTAACTCTGGCAACCTTGTAGCTTGTTGCTTTTTACCGGAGACCGCTTGTCAGTTTGCTTTAAAGTGAAGGATATCGCTCCAACAGCCCAAGCGCCATCTGCTTAATATGAAGCACTGTCTTTATTCTTCTTGGGTAGCATCTTTCGTTACCATAAGATCTTGGCAGGCTTGAGAGAAGAGCAGATACAACCTCATTCGACAGAAAGGTTTCATGTATATAGCGCCATTCCTCCTGATCATTTGTCTCTGTTTCCCATCCATCTTGCTAATGAGACAAGTACGCTGCGGGAAGCACGGTTTTATTTACGATGTGCACGAGGTACCCTTCTTAGTCACGCTTGCGCTGGCTCCACGAAACGTTTGGTTAGACGCGCACCTAGCAGAATTTGTTCTGGAGACAAGCTGTCGAAAGCAAGATAGCTTGCATCTCATCGACAGAGTTTAGTGCAACCCGAATTAGCTTAGATTTTCCGGCTTGCCTAGAATTCCGTTTAGTGTGTTTCGTCGGAACAACGAGCAGAGCGCAGGTGGCGTTCCATTAGCTCAGCCCGTTCATTTTCCTGCCTTTCAGCAAACACAAGGTTGATCCTGGAACATAGGTACATAGTAAACATTAGGCAGCCCGTTAATCTAAGAGTCTTTCAGAGGAGTAGGGTTCCCGTTTAGAAGACCGGAGGACCGGCTACATACCATCGCCGCACACATTAATCCTATGTGGGAAAGCCAAACTTGCAGCAGTTGATTTTTGTGCAATCTTGGTTGCAAATACGGCCATGCTGCCTCTGGAGTTGAGTTGCTTCTTGGGCATAATCGAGGCTTCGCAGGAGGAAAGCATTTATTGGAACTTGCTGCAAAGGGGATCGAAGAGAATACAACGGAAACGGCTGGACAGTCTGGAATAGTGGGGGTTGTTTGCTCACTCTGCCTCCAGGAATCAGTTTGTTAGCAGAGCGCCAGGAGTAGTAAATATAACTTTAGTAGCCTCTAGTGGAGAGGCTTGGTTCATGAATTCTGCTACGTGTTGCTTCTGATTAATCACGTTTTGCCTTCGATATTTGCTGAATCATTTCTGCTAACCTCTTATACTTATGAGACAGTACACTCAGGATCCTAATTATGGGTATGGTACTAAACATTACGAAGAACAATACGCAGTCTGTCCTTTTGTTGTATAATCTCCATGCGCTTGGTTTCATTCTCCTGCATTTGGGAGGGGTGGGGCAGTTAGAGCATGAAACTCCTAGTTTTGCTATGTAATTACACGTTCTGCAAGTGCCTGTAAGCACAACAGATCGACAAGGTGGACCCGTAAATTCCCGGAAACTTGCTTTCAACGGTAGTTTCACTCCTGAACCTCAAACAGTGGTCAGACTACCCGCTTCGTCGCCTAGGTCATTTCGCCCTGAAAGATGGCTGTGTCACTCACTCTCTGTCTAGCGGCCGCGCACTGAGTGCAGCATACGTCAACCAGTCGTGTCGAGTTCATGAGGACACACAGCGGCGCTGTAGGTATTGTTTGTCTTACTCTAAGCGGCGTTATTAACCGAACACTGTCAAGCAAGGCTGTACAGCGATGTTTAACGGACGCCCGACGGTAGCAGTCACGCAGATTTTTCTGCTGCAGCTTGCAGAGACTGCTGCAGGATCGTTGTAGAACTCCTAGCTTCTTCTGAATAAATTCAACATTATTCTAGAACAACATAGGAGTGAGTTAGTTGCATGTGCGAATTTTGCCAATGCATGTACCAAGACTGTGAACTTAAGCAAATATATGATCCACAGAACTTAGATCCAAAAGGAGGTGAACACTGAGTAGTGCTAGTAGAACTGAATCGAATTAACGTAGGCACAAGATCATCCCGAGAATTGGAATGGTAACAAGGGATGAACTGACAGCGCAGATAGAGTGGAACCGTACGGGAACGGAACCATCGTTGATTTATTATCCTGCATCTCAGATAATAAGCTTGGGAACTTAGTTTTTAGGTGACGAAATATATATCGTGATACATTTGAGGCGTCGTAAATCGCTCAGTGTTTAGTCATTAAACGAGCTGTGCTTTTCCAACGTCCAATCTGCATACGATGTTTTACTGGACAAACTAGATATATTCATTAGAACACCGGTAATTCATTCATTATTAGCCGGAGCATTTGTTCCGGCGTCATAACATTCCGATAGTCGTTACTTAAACTTTGTTTTAGTTGTGCATCAAAGCAGCATGCCGACTTTTACCACATGCTGCAGATAGAGCCATAAAATTTGTTGTACGGATTCCTCAGAATTCTCCCTTTTCTTCCCCTTGACGAGCATGCATCAGTTACAATATCTAACCTTTCTAATGGTACGCAGGAGTTGTTGCCTAAGGAATGTGTACAATCTGAATTATTTCATGAAATTAATCTGTTATTCTTGAAATAACGTTGAAGGTAGCATTTGACATACTAATAAAACTGGGGAGGGGATAGGGTAGATATCCTTGGACATGGAATCTAATGGAGTATTGAAAAGTCTACAATGACCAAAATACCTGGAGGTGCAGTAAATGACATTATCTTCTCACGAAAATGCTTTACTCGGAGCATAAAGACATTTAAGTAGGGGGCTGAGGGAGATCCAAGGCTGTGATATCATCAAGGATAACAGGACAATAATCCTGATCAACTTGTGTTGCAATTTGAATGATCCACTTTAAAATATGTAATTTTACTTGACATACCATACGGTTTATATGACGTTGTATCTTTAACTTCAAATATTTTGTAGGAAAACATCCTGACATCACCGAACAATCCATCGGGAATACGTGTTATTGACTTTGGTTCCAGCTGTTACACAAATAAGCAAAGTGAGTTTTCGTGCAAACTACATTTCATCCATTTGAAACTTCAGCAATTATCCCATTAGTGGAAAATTTATTTATGCCTTGTTGACTGTTGTTTCCAAATATTGGAAGGAAGTTGAAAAGACGCATCCGATCCAGAACTAGCTTACAAGATGTGAATTATTTAAATCCAGCTTATTCGAGCACGTAACTCTGGTTTATGCTGAATGGTACTGATGACTTTTAATGCGAGATTCCTTTCTCTAGCCGTGAGTGCAGCACAACGTAATAAACAACATAATGGTTTTAAAAGAAATTCTTACTTGGTAAGTGTTTGCAAGTATGCATGGAAGGCTGTTTCACTACCTGGTAAAGTTAAATTTGTTTTGACCAATTAAACGTAAGGAATTCGATGAGACATTCAAAACGTAAAGCTGATAATTTCGAGTTTGGTGCAGTCCTGATCAAGGAAAGTTTATTATGCGTAACTTTTCTACCAAAGCTGGAGCTTTGGGGAAAAAGCTCCTCAAACTTGGCTTAAAATAGATAATGAGTTTCCGAGGTAAAATGAAGCGGTCCAATTGTGTCGAATTGTCGTTTATTTCTAATGGCATATCAAGGCAGGGGCAGTAAAAAGCAGCTGTGTTGTTATCAGTAATGGACTACTTACCCAGTAACTACACTTCGATCTACATGTTATTTTAAGGTCGTTCCTCTTGGTGATTTGTAACACTTACCAAGTAAATGCTTTTGTAAACGACATTCCCAACAATCTTCCGAACGCAAATCTTCTATCCGTGAGATGTCTGCAAAAGCGGCGACATTTATTCGGTCATCCGAGGAGACTAAACACGTACATGGATCATAAGTTTAGCAGAATGGTTTAGCCCATTCGTTGAAACTGCTGTATTTCGTCCATTGTTAACCACCGTTACCAATGATCGCTGAAACGGCCAAATTACTTTGGGAGAACTCTAAATCAGAAAGCATATGTACTTTTCGGTTATTAATTGCCGATAAGACTGAAGAACTGAGGACTAGCTGGTGCTTTCTGAATTGGTGGGATATGATATAACCGACGCACCTGACGCCTACCAACGGTCCGAAGGATGTCCTAAACATGTACCTATCTCCAGGAAGGCTTTGAACATCATTCTAAACAAAGGTACAAGGGAATTCAGTAGAAACTGCAAACTTCTAGATTTTTGAAGGAATATTGATAAGCTTGAGAATATTTTACCCTAAACAGAGTATAAATACTTGCTATTGTCTTGATTAATAACACTACTGACGTAAAGAAGCTAATAGTATATATTGTAATAGGGTTTAACTGGACTGGTTGACTTCAGGCATCCAGGATCTAGTTATTGGAATACTGATGACCTGGGAAATATTGTTGTACTATAGGTAGCTAAAGAAGAATAATTCAGGCAGTAGCTTTGACGAACGAGATCGGTTCTTCGGCATAATTTACGTTTTGTGGACAAAACGTGAGATAAGTCTCATTCACTTTGGTTTTTGCAGATCAACAATCAGGTTTCAGCGCAATCAGCAAAATCAAGACATCATTTTTTAAATGTCCGATCGTTTAAGGATGCATTGGCTCCCTTTATTTTCCCTAATTTGCTTCAAAAACTGGAGACAAAATTGCTGCTCCTTAAGGTACGGACAGTTTGTCAACATTTGGTGTTAATCCACTAGGTACGTCAAGTCAAGTCAAAAACACGATTTTGTAAACCCGTGACGGGTGAATTTTCAGCATTGACACACACATGCTATTCGGCATAACGGAAACCGCAATCCGGACAGTTCTTGCATACTAGGGTTTTGATAAAATAGCAATTTGGCTAAATAAGGAAGAGCCGACGAACCAGGAGGCTTTGTGCGGGCATATATTTCGCTGTTCATTTGTCTCCTCGACGAGGTGGATATGCATTTGTAAAGTGCAGCGTGAAGAGGGTGGTACCATTTTTGAAGCAGGTAGATTGCAACTATTAATGTGTAGAGATACAATTATTTTTGCCAAAGTTGGCTTTGGAAAGCCACTGCAGTGAAACAAGGGCTTTAGCGACCTGTCAAGCAACACAAAATACTTACACATTAAGCTTGGAAAAACCACAGGAGTCCACTGCGTGGTAGAATGCAAGCCCTGATGAACGTCAGAATCAAATCGTACGATACGCAGAATGATCGCAATCGAGCGACGTAAAACGAAACTCGTCTGACTTTGTTGAACAGTTGATTCATGTAGAGGGACCACGACAAATCGTGGCTTCGTGTAACTCCAAGAGAGTTGAATGACATACGGAAGCTCAAACTGCTGCCTTTAATCTAAAGTTGGGAACATTCCGTGACAAGTTCGTGGTAACAAGCAGCGTTAATTGGTGAAAAAGATAGGTCATTAGACATGGATGCGTTCAGCGTCAAGCAGCGGGAGTTTGCTTATCATACTGAAACATCTAAACAACGTAGCAGCTTGGCTGAGTAGACCGTTGTTTGGTGATTCACACCAAGGATAACGTCATCCGCGTATTTAGATCGGATAACTTCTTCTGGTACAGGTATAGAGCTAACGTATGGATGGAACAAGAATGGTGACAAAGTAGCTCCTTGACGGACACCGGATATTGTGGTGAGTGGGGAGGAGCTTTTGCCACCAAACCTGGTGATCTGAATTGGTTGAAATAATTTTTTAGTTGGAATACTAGGGAAGGTTGAATACCAAGAGTCTGTAGATCCAGCCACAGCAATTTACGGCCAACACAGCCGAAAGTGTTGCGGTGGTCAAGGAAGCAGACCCGTCTGGATTTTCTTTCACTAGCTAGGGACGACAAAACGGAATGCACTAGTCAAGCCACTGCATCTTATGTGCATCTCGAACTTCTATACGCAAATTAAAATGCGTCATCCAAGCGGGATAGGGCCAGAATTTCTCATGGATGCTTTTCTCATAAACTTGAATGCCACAGAGGTTGATGCAATAGGCCGATATTTATACGTCCCATTTTTCGGTACTGGTGTAATGTTGGCAAGCGTTCAACCATCCGCGATTTTTCATTGGTTTAAGCGTATTGTGTCTAGCACGGCAAGTGGCAGGGTTAAGGAATCCGCAACTTGCTTGACGACTTGGGGTGACCGCCTGTCACCTCCTCATGCCTTGCCTGAGTGCAACTGGGTTAGCTACCAGTGCAATGATGCGACGTCGACAGTAGGCAGTGAGTCCGTAGACCACTAAAATGGTGCAGCCGGTGATTCAGAGAACGAATCACTGCTAGTGCAGCGGAAGTTGTAATTTAATTTTTCTACGTCGACATCAGAATTTGTGCTTTGACGAGTGACTACGCTGGGCCCCTTCATCATCCGCTAAACCCCATGACAAATAATGTTCCCCAGAGTTGTTTCGACATAGACAACATTGAGTTGACGAACTTATTCTTTAATACGAGTAGAAAGGGACTTCATTACATCACTATAATTGTCTTTGTAATAGCCGTTTCCTTGAGCCTACGAAGTTGCTTGTGATAGAGTGAACAAAAGCGATCGGCACAGATGAAGATGGATTCTTTCAGGCATCATAGATGATAACACCAGTTTAAACAACACGTCCCTTGGTCACAGTATGTTGATATGTCTGTGGCGAGAAACAAACGGAAGTCTTTGAAATTAACCATTCCTCTTCGCCGCGCTATGTTTGTAGGGAGAGGTTGTCTCCAATTCTATCTACAACCATAGCAGCGAGTAGAGAGCTTGTGGTTTGTCTTACTATTGACAACAGTGGATAGATTGCCAGTAGATTGACCTGAACTGACAAGTGATGCCCGACAGCAGACGGAAAATATCTTTAACATTTTGTCAGATACTAAATCCATGATTTCCTCCAATCGGGTAGGATATTTTCTACTATTCTGTAGACTCTGAATTGTGAGGAACATGGTGTCAAATCTATTGAAATCAGTTGCAACTATGCACAGATACTGATGCGCTTTCCCAATAACAGCGTCCGTAAAATAATCGTAAAATTTGTCTGCTTCTGAATTGGGACAGCTGGGGATTATATAAATATTGGCCAGTAACATCTGATGGCACCCATTCCGATATTTTGGTCTACAGTTTAGAACAAAGCAGTCGATACGCAGTAATGAGTAGAAGAAGAGGCTTTTCACCAAAAAGCACCAAAAAACTTTAATAAAAATTTTATGACACCCCCGCCAAGATCCCGGTGGGCGATCAGCACGAAAGCAAATCAGACTGTCAATTACAACGGCTTCTTCAGTAACTTTCTGAAGCCTACTTTTACAGCGTAATGATACCAGATTGTGTACATTCACAAGAGTTAATCAAGCTTTTTTCCCTGGGAACGGACGGACATTGGTGATAAGAAAAGAGGGTATGATCATGCTTATCAAGTTTTTCTTCCTCGGTACAATTTTTCACGTCATACGATGTTATTGGACAGATCTTTTCTATTTTTTAGTTTCTCACTTTATTCCTGTAAGATCGATTATTGTTTTTGATTTGCGCGGGACACAACGGTTTCGGAACGCCGCGGGAAAATCTTATCATAGTATTGAATGATAACAAAACTGTAGGTAATTTTCTTTTCATACTCTACCCAGTGCCATCAAAACCAGTAGAAAAAAGAAGCGCATTCTTGCATGTATATCGCAGATATGACTTCCCATGCATGTCACATTTTCAGTTACAGCGCTCCAAAAAGTCTCCTTACCAGCTACTAATTATTAAAAGTCATAGGAGTTAATGGAGAAAATATGACATATTGAGTCTGTTAATACAGACGCTTGTATGAATAACCTTTCGTCCGGTATATTCCTCAGAAATATCCTACAATAGAAAAATCAATACAACGAAGCATGGATTATAACTAGTAGAAGAACAAGTGCTTCGCAAGTCTATAGCAATGAGCATTACAACCCAGAACGTACCAGTTTATAAGAAATGGGGAGAAAATTCAGTTTTTAGACAAATCACGAGGCTGTTCACCTGGACATTTATGCAGGTTTAAT